CTTATGGGCCATCCGGACAACCGCAAAAGGGGCAACCGATGAAACCCCATTTCTCATGGTTTACGGTACTGAAGCCGTCTTGCCCATCGAACATTACGAGCCGACTCTCAGAGTCATGCTATATGATGAAGAGGCAAACTGGGAAGCAATGCGCCTGGCATTGGATTCACTCCCAGAACGCCTGGGCAATGCCCCTACCGGATCTATGAAGAAGTAAGAGGCGGCACCTACCACCTGGAAACTCCAGACGGCAGGCGCCTGCCTAGAACTTGGAATGTAGACAATTTGAAAAAATACTACTTCTGAGAACCAGTTTTTTGTAAACAGTGATTTAATTAATGAGAATTCAGACTTTGTTTGTAAAATCATTTTCGTTTCTCCGTCTAGGTAATATTCAGATGGATTCTTATGTAACTAACTAAGTTTGACACTTAGTAAGAGTTATAATTGCTTGACCGCCTGGGTAATACTCAGATGGATCCTTTGTTAACTTGACTAGGTTTGATACTTGGTATGAATTGATAATTGTCTGTCCGTCTGGGTAATACCCATACGGGCTTATTTGTTTAAAATAACTAAGTTTGACACTTAGTGTAAATTTAATGTCGTAACAATCCGATTAAAAATTAAACACAAAAACGCTTAGTGGCTATACAACCGGTCTCAAACAAGACCAAAGGCTTAAATGGCCGGATGGTTGCTTATTTTATAAAACCGCCTGTCCCAATATGGACAAAGGCGTCCGAAGACACCCCTCCGGGTGCAATCGTCGTAGAGAACAGAATATCTGTTGGTTCTACGTACCTATGGAGACGACAAAAATTGAACGACCACATTGGTCAACTCATAGCCGTCTGACCAGAATGATCTGTAAAGAACGACCAAGTTACCGATTACCGGATGCCCCTAGGCATCAGTTGGTCACCGGCTGAAGTTCTCACATGTTATTTATTCCAAAGGTGCACTTTCTATCCCTATTGGGGCAAAAGAGTTGTGCAATGGTTATGCAATCTCTACCAAGACGGACAAACTCCGTTTAGTTAGTTATTGGAACGCCTGTTGGTGTACGGCTGTGCAATTGGTTTGAGGCAATCACTACTGTGATTGATTGACTTACAAACGTATCATGCTCATTGCAGCATCAGACGTTCCCAAGTCAATCAACCAACTCCATCTGAAACCAACCACACAGCCGTCCAGGGGCAAGGACAGTCAGGCTTTTGATAAGTTCGGCAAAAAATCACCACATGCTTTTGATAAGTTAGGCAAAAAATACAAAAATTGAAATTCAAACGCAAACGCAGAATGATTAAAACCAACTCACTCGGTGCATTCCATAAAAGTCCACCCAACCAAATGGTTGTAGTGGATCAAATGTTAACCGGACCCCGTCCGGGAGAAAAGAGACATTGTTAATTAACCCGGCTCCACAGCCGGTAAATACAAAATACTCGGCACGCAGGCCGTGAAAGTAAGTTTTGGCATACTGCCGCAGAAATAAAGAAAAAATAAAAACAGAGATTGGCATACTGCCGCTAAAAAATCACTTATGGCCTACAGACGGTGCCTCCTGGTCCTCTTCCTCATCATCTTAGGGAATCTCTTCTGCTACACCCAGACCAGGTAGCTCAGGCGCGGGGGGCTCATTGTTGGAGTTGACCCAGGCATCAAAGGACTCAGGCTTCGGCTCACCTCTATCTCTCAGGTACACCACATACTCGGCGTAACTGTGAGCCAGTGCCCAGACGCTATAATCCGCGTCTGGGTACAAGGCGGCCCAGGCGATCTTCATACTGGCGTCATTGTCAGTATCAATTTCACCAACCAGGCGGTTTTGCTCCGCCTCCAGAGTTGCTACAAAGTTTGTCTGAGCCTGAGAAGCCTCCTTCTTCAGCCTCTCAACCTTGGTCTTCAGGTTGGTGTTCTCTTCGGAAACACCCTGAAGTGTGCCAAGGTCCGCCTGAGCCTTCTTGAGCGCCTTGTCAGCCTTTTTGGCGCTCTCATCCGCCTTTTTCTTGGCTTCCTCTGCCTTCTTCTAGGCCGTCTCAACGTCGCTCACCCGCTGGTTGGCCGTTTCCAGATCCGCCTCCAGCTGCTGGATTTTTGACGCCTGTGTCATTATGATTGCTTTAGTTTCAAGATCATTTACGATAGTTGAGTATAAAGCAACATTATCAGCGTCTATGGCGGACTTCTTGGCCCTTTTTACCTCTTCCCGTTTGCGGTAATAAGGATGCTTGAGCTCGTCTACTCGCAGCATAGCCTGCAAAAAAGCAAGTGGTATTAGCATTGCAGGCAGGGTAAAGCACTTGGAAAAAATAAAATTGACGAGTTCCTTACCTCATCCAGAAGGGATAGAATGCGTTCCAGATTGAACGTCTCTATCCCAGGGATGTTGTCCTTATCCCTCTTCCGGACAGCGTCAAGCAGGGCCTTGGCGTGCTTCTGGTCGTCTGGCCAGCGGGGAGATTGATCTACACCATAATCAATAGGTGATGAGAGAGAAATTAAGGCAGCACCAATCTGTTGCCGACCGTCTGAGGATGACGTCTGCTAGGAGTGGGATTTCACTCGCAAAGGCCACCCCAGCTCAGGCTGGGATTCAAAAGGGTTCTTACCTTCAGAGCCGGCCAAGCGGGAACCGCTTGCAAGCGTGGTGAACCCCCTAGTTGCTGTTACGGGGTTGACGAGGTCGAGGCCCAGTCTGCCGCTTATCCTCTCGTTTCGTCCCCCTAACCGCATCTGATGGTGCCCGACTGAGGCGCCAGGGGTGGAGGCGGAGGTGGATTCTTTGGTTTTGTTGAGAATGGAGGGGGTTTCCTCCCTAGCCCGTTTGAGATTTTTCTCAAACGTCTTTCCAACCTCTCCCCCCTGCGAAAATAACCATGTTAAAGTTAGCATCCGGGGAAAATAATCTTTAAGACCAATCTAAGAAAGGGTCAGGCGTTTTTCACCTTGGCCTTGACTGCGGCCGCAGCTTTTTCCGCAAGCTCCTTGCGGATGACTGCAGAGGACCGCTTGGGAGTCTTCTCCGCCTGCAACATGTTAAAAGCTTCTTCTGCAAAAAAGAGACTGGTCAATATCATAAACCAATTCCGATACGAAAACACTACAGGCAAATATAAACTCAGGCGCATACGTTTGGTAAACATGTGTCCTAGCCCGCAGGCGGCTAGGAAACACTCATCCCTAAACCAGGCGCTCTTGGGGATCCAGTTCTTGGGAACTTTTATTGTTTCCCCGATTGACAAGGTTGCGTCTGTGAGGCCGAAAAAAACTGCCTCAATAATCTTGTCAAAGTCCTCCTCTGGGATCCGGGGAAGAGCACACTTCCTTCCCATCAGGTCGGGCTTCTTATTGTACTGGCGGAATTCATAATTCTCCCGCCTGCTGGGAGCTGATATCAGGTAGAACCTGTGCTTCCAGCCGTCGAATTTGGAGACCTTGTCCAAGGTCATCATATATTGGGGATGTGTGGTTAGAGTGTACCACACCCTCCAACCGCCTGGGCTTCTACTAAGATAATGCATACTAGCAAAAGCCTCCCAGCCGGGGTTGAGCCCCTGGAATTCACAAGCGACAACATACCCCAAAATGTTTGCCCAAGAGTTGGGGGTAAGTTGCCAGACTCCAAGGCCGTAGCCTCTCAATATTGCCTTCACCGCCTGGTGAAGAGGGAAGCGAAGACCAGCCTTGAACGCCGCCTCATAACAGCCAAAGTAGCTGTTGGCATTCTCTTGATCATCCTCCCAGGTGATGGTGCCGTTCTCAGGCGGCACCCTGATTCTATACCCGTCTCCTAACGGGTGCATTTGCCTAAAGTCCTTCAAGTTCTCCTCCATTTGGATCTGGTCCTTGGCGGAGATGTGGATGTTGAAGGGATCATCCTTCTCATTCCACTTCTTCCTCTCCTCCTCCTCGCTATCCTCAAGCGGGGGTAAATCGTCGCTGCTCTCAAAGGTGGAGGCGGAGCTGTCACTCTCCGTCTCCTCCTCATTTTGGGTCAAAGGGGCTGAGACGGCCTCATCGCCGTCTTGGTCGCACTCTTCCAAGAAGGAATCTGCGGGAGTTGAAGGGGCGCGCGGAGGAGATCTCTCCAAAGCCGTCTGGTCTCCCTGACCAGACGTTTCTTCCTCAGGCGTTTGGTCGCCTGAGCCTTCGCTTCTGTAGTTTGGATCAGTGGTCGTCTGCATAGTCCGAGCCATTGTGTCCTGCACAGACACATAAATGGTCGGAATCCAAGGCAAAGGGTGGTCCCAACACCCCGAGACGGCACTCCCAGACTTAGACTCAGTCGTCCCAGGTGACCGGCTGGACTCTAACCTAGGTTGTGCCGTGTGTGTTGGTGATGCATCCATTTATTGCAAGAAATATGTACAAGCGGTGAAACAAGAAAAAGAGCTGAGAGGCAGAGACGATACCTTTGGATTTGATATCTGAAGACAGACGGGTCCGGCTGGGTTGATGGAGTACGAGCTTCCTTGCCTGCGCCTGACTCAAATGTTTAGGGTAATTTTACCCCGCCACGTGGTCCAATCATAGGATGACACGTGTCAGCCTTAGGATGGTCCAATGTGGACCAATCCCTGCTTGACACGTGTCACTCCAGAAAACTGAGAAAAAAATGGCGGCCTTCAGGCCCAAATCCTGAGAAAGCCGCAATGCGGCGCAGCCCACCAATGATTAGGGATCAATGACCTAACCAGGGGCACAAATCCCAATGACCCTATAAATAGGGAGATTTCCCTCTTTTGCCGAGGACGTTTTTTCCTTTCATAAAAAACACAATCTCTGTGATAGAGACATCTGAGCTTGGAATCCGAGCAGATACCCACCTAAATTTCCGCACCTTTTTCTCTCCCTTCAAGTTTCTAACTTGTGCGTCGGAGGCGGAGCACCACCCAACCGGTGTCTCCGTTTGTTTTGCAGGTACAGCTCACGCCGGATCAATCTTCGTGTTGTAACTCTCCCAAGGGACAAAAACACCCAAAACAGCAAGGTTAAAGATCTCCAGTCTTCATTGGAAAGTTCCAGGAAATGTCTTGCGGAAGGTCATAATGTGAAGGTTCTCCTTCCTCTGTAAAGAGTTTGGAGTAATAATTCACAATATGATCTTTAATTTCATTTTTATCATGTAACCACACACCATCTTCCCTTTTCAGAGACACGGTTTTATTTTTCCATCTCTTCACCACCGTACTCAGCTGGAAAAAAGTTGTGTTACGGTCTCCGTTTTTCAACCACTCAATCCGTGCCTTTTGATACCAAAGCACTTCCTCTCTTTCTAAGATTTCATCCAGATCACGTCTCAGTTTCGCTTCCAATTTAATAAGCCCTCTATCAACTTGCACAGCCATCTTTTTTTGCACACCTGCTATGCGAGCAAGCAAGTGTCTCTTCTGTTTAAAGATATTTCCAAAAACATCCCTGTTCCAATGCTGCAAATCAGTTGATAGTTTGGCTAGAGAGTTGATTAAATTACCATGTTTATCCCATTTCTCCGCTACAAAGTCTTTAAAATTCTCATGGGTCAGCCAAGTTGCTTGGAATCGAAAAGGTCTATGAAGAGATTGCATGGGTACAAACCCATTAGGCGAAATAAACAACGGACAATGATCTGAGTGTACTGCCGAAAGATGTCTCATAGATGCTTTATCAAATCTCATTGCCCAGTCTCCATTACATAATGCTCGGTCAAGTCTCGCACTTTGCCTGGTTTCCATGCTTTTTCCTCTTGCCCAAGTATGAGCCGCACCCACAAATTCTACTTCCAACAAATCCATCTCTTCCACCCAATCATTAAACATTCTTGATCTCCTATTTGTTTCACTACAAGATTTATTCCTTTCGGAAGGGTATCTTGTATCATTGAAATCCCCTGCCATTAACCATGGTTTATTACGGCTAGCTGCAAAGTCTCTAAGCTCTTTCCACAACTCCTGTCTCTTTGAAGGATCCGGGCTTGCATATATAGCTGAGAAGTACCAAGGGATTTCACCTACACGAGTGATTTCCATAGTTATGTGTTGTTGATGCTGAGAGATCGGGTTGACTGTAACCAGAGCTTGTTTCCAATAAACCCATATCCCTCCACTAAATCCAACCGCATCCACCCTAACGTGACCATCATAGCCAATTATCGAAGCTATCTTTACTGCTTGATCTCCACCCATGTGAGTTTCCACCAAAGCTAAAACATCCGATTTATTCACTTTGATTAACTCTCTCAAAGTACTGATAAAATTCTTGCTTCCCGCTCCTTGTACATTCCAAATCATACAAGTCACAGGCAAAGGGTCCGGATTCAAATTTGGAATACTATCTTCCATGCACACTGGAATTGAAGGTAAAGATGACTCATACGCTTGTCTTAAGAGCATTAACAGCCACTGGAACTCATTGGGGATTTTCATTGTGACCACCAACTCCGGGAGGGTCGTGATTGGTGGTAACATTGACTCCACTTGTACCTCCATGACATGAATCAGGGGGCACATCTTCACAAGGTAGGGTTGCTCCATCGGAGCTCCTACACACATAATTCTGTCCGTTAGGACTTATAGGGTAATGGGGAAGGGTGTTCGAAACATGAGTGATGCTTTGTGACTGCTTCTCACTGACTTGGTCTTGTGCTTCTTCAGTCGTGGTTTTGTCTTGGGGTTTGCTTTGTTTATTAGCTTCCAAGTTAAAGTCAACCTCTTGCCTACCCTGCAATTCAACTGAATTAATTTTGGAATTTAGAAATTCCAAGTCATTGGTGATATCTTTCAAGGGATTTATCTCTTTATGGGTAGTTGGTTTTTTCTTTTCTTCAAATGTCTTTGAGGGGCCCTTTTTTGCCTTTGAGATATTGTTAACACGGAATTTGGGAAAAAATCAATTTGTCTCCTAAATTGCTGAGAATCCTCTCCCAAATTAATTGTTTCCACAAAATTTCCATCATTATCTTTTGAACTTGGAACAAAATTTTCCAATTTTTTATCTGTTTCCATGTTTATCTCATTATTTTCCTCTTCCTGATCAATCAAGATTGCAAACCTTGATCCCTGCCCTTGATTCTCTCTAACAACCTGATTATCCCCTGATTTTCCTTCCCCAAATCTTGCACAAAGATTTGACTTGTCAACCACTTCGGCCGCCACCTCATTGCCTCCAGCACCACCAGTAGCCGCCTTCTCTTGCCTAGGATTGCGTTTACGAGTTGGTTTTTTTACTAACATCCATGATCCAAAACTCTCGTTTTCTTCCGGCTTTGACTCCTGGTGGTGTAAAGGATTCTCATGGACTACCATCGAAGCATCATCTCCTCCCATTTTTAGCATAGGGCATTCATCTTCAACATGTCCAAGTTTTCCACATTTAAAACACACCATTCGTATGCCTTCATACTTCACCCTCCAAATGCGCCCCTTTAGCCAAAATTTAGACAATAAAGGCTTGGTTAGATCAATTTCCACACTCAATCTTGTGAATTGTCCTCGCTCTGCTTGAGCAGTAGTTTTGTCCACTCGAAGCACCTTCCCAATTTTAGACCCAACCTTGTTCAAGAAGTCGACATCAAAGTATTCCACTGGTAGATTAGGAATGCGCACCCAAGCAGTCAGAACCTTCATTGGAGCATCATCAGGAACAAAATTGGGAATCCACTTCCTTATAGTTAAATAATTATCATCAAGCATCCAAGGACCCTGAGTTAAAACATAATTATAATCAGCATGATTAGTGAATCTTGCTATATAATAATTACATCCTATATCAGTCAGAGTAAGATCCTCCTTAATGTTCCATTTTTTCTTAAGTCTGCGCATCATTCCCATATACCCCAGTTTACCACAAAACATCTTAATAATCAAGGATGTTTTCCATGGTTTTCTCAATTGCTTCTTTTCTTCCTTCGTAAGTCTGATTACAGGGCATCTCTCATCCTTGAGAATTTCCTCTGGTACCTCTTCATCATCCGAAATATCATCCTCTTCATCATCATCTACAAGAATTGCATGAGCATGAGAAGCTTGACCACCATATGTGTCTCTTTCCATAAGATCACGAAAAGAAACTCCTATGGCTTGAGGATTCATGCCATTTCGTCCATTGTTTACTCCACTTTCAGTTCTCGCATTTCCCTGTAGATTTTCATCTCCCTCAGCCATCGTTACATCTTCTTGGCTTCCTTGGCTGGCGATTATATGATTGATTTTACGTTTAGGTTTCTTATTTGATCGATCTAATTGATCTCTTTCTTCTGTAGAATATTGGTTTCCATTAGGGTTCACAAAGGTTTTTTCGAGAGAGTTTTCCATTTTTTTTTCCAGAGTTGTTTATAGAAGATTATTCTCTTCTCTCCTTATTTAGTTATTTGTTGGTGCTTATTACTCGTACGTACGTAGTTGTTGATTATTTAGGTAATTAGGTTGGCAAAAATAGTTTATAATAATCTTTTATTATTATTATAATCTATATGGTATTTTTTTACTAGTGTTGTGATTGATATTTTTTTTTATTCTTTCCAAAAGTAAAGATTTAGACTAAAACTAATTTTTAATATTTAAGTCAATTTATATATTAGTTAACTTTTTTTTTTACCTCATTAAAACTTTACTGAATTAGTGTTTAAAAAATAAAATTAAAAAAAAAACACAAAACAAAACAAAACAAAACAAAAAAACTCTTAAAGACATACAAGGAGATGACATATGTCATTATTGCTGGTGTGTCTTTTAGTATATAGTTATGAGAAAGTACTAATGTAGATTTGATATGTATTTGCAAGTACATATCAACCTTTAAATATTAAAAAGTATTATAAAGCATATGGGGTGAGAGAAAGGAGGAGAGAGATGGACAAGTGGACCATTTTTTAAATGTACCACTGAAAACTTATATAAGACCGTCTCCAATGGTAAGACTCTAGTAGTATTTTTTAGGAGAGAGAGAGAGTTGTTTGTGCAAAGAATATCAATAAGTTGGTATCTAAACTTAGCAACTCTAAAATAAAATTGCTAAGTTTAGATACTCAATTTGAGTCGTAATTGACAAAAAATGTGGGCCTTAATTAATATTATAATAATTTTATATTTATTTAATTTGTTTTTAAATACAAGCCAACAATTCCTCAAATAAAAAGATGGAAACAAAATAATTGCATACTAGGTTAGTCTCGTGCGATGCATGATTTAATATTTGTTTTCCTTATTTATTTGTATGTAATACATATTTAAAAAAAAAAACACTAATGAAACGTGTGTCTTCTTATTCGATGAATTTGAGCTATAACGAAAGATATGATGTTAAATATAGAGTATATTATAATCACATATTATACTATATGCTTCGTAATTTAAATAAAATTTAAAACTTATTTATAAGATGTTAGCATTAATTCGCTGGTTTATCTTTCATTAATTTTTTTTAAGAACTAATAAGGAATGGAAACACCAAAAACAACACTTTAAATGTATAAAAGTAGGAGATAAAATGTTTCTAGAAAAATAAAATATTTCAGCAACTAACTTTTGATTTTAGCATAAAATGTTTTAGGAAATGTGCAATTAATTTATATACTAATGCTAAAATTGTATAGTTAGACAATTTTAGCATAAAATGTTTTAGGAAATGTGCAATTAACTTACTAATTCCAAACATTTTTTTTTATTTTGAAATAAAAAAAAAATGTTACCAAAATTTTGGAAGGGAAATTTTGTATGAGAAGTTGACTATTGTAAATGATGATGTTGGCGGTTTAATTTTTTAGTTATATTTATAGATGGTGGGTCCAATGGAAAATGACATAAGTATACTTAAATGTGAGTATACCATTGAAAGATTATAAATCATATAAGTTGCTAAATTGAAAAGTGAGTTAAGTATTACCATTGAGAGTGAAAAACAACTCAACTTGTATTTTATTTCTCAGAATTAAATCTCACCATTGGAGATGATCTAATATCATTGACTATGTAGTGATATTATTTCTATACGTAATAAGTATCATTAAACGAATATACAGTACCATTAAATTGATCATCTAGTAATACTATTAATCAGCAGTGGTACACTTAAATACAAAACATGAAGGTGAGAGAAAGGAGGAGATGGATAAATTTCATGCAAAATGTCTCAAATGCCCCTTTATATATATATACAAGTACCTATCAAACCTCCCTTTGGAAGGCCTCGTATAGTTATTAATTATTGATGCCATGTTGGACCAGGTGTATAGTTATTAATTATTGATGCCATGTTGGACCAGGTGGATACGCAAAACACCGAGTTCTAAGGTAGATTTGCAAGGAACCTCACTTGCAAATTCCTTGCAAGTTAGCACATTTTAACCCCAAAATTTTAAACGACAATGCAATGCATGAGAACAATAACTGTAAAAACAAGTTTCAAGCCAAAAAAGGAGTCTGATCGAGCATAGCAATCCTCCAAACAAACAAAACAATGCAAGACAGCAACGTAACAAAACGGGAACCAAAACGTGTTAAGTTGCTGTTTAGAAAGGTAACTAAGCCTAAACTACCAAAAGGATTTTTCCACCAGGTACAGCAATCCAATGCGGCTGCATCTTAAGATACCAGGTTGTCATTGAGTGACAATGAAGCCAACTGATCAGCAGCATTTCCACCCTGCTGTTGTGCAACATTCCTCAGTACTTCCATAGCCTCCGCAACTTTAGCCTTCAATGCATCTGGAGACTCAAGCAAATGCAGAACTTCAGTCTGGTCCATCTCTAGTAGCATACCAGTCACCTTGGCAGCATTGTCATGCTCGATGGCATCCACCAGAGGGTACAAGCTTTCTCCAAGCATCTAAAGATAAAAAGGAAAAGGTTATCAAGTCAATTCCAACCACAAATCAACTGTCGGGCAAAATAAATAAAAACCTAGTTACATCATTCAAATATCACATGCAACATACTGTTCTTTGTTGCTCAGGAGATGCGTTGGCCAAGGCAGTTGCTAATGCAGTGATGGGCACAGGCTGAGCAATTCCAGTATCACGGATAGGCATGCCGGCCATGTCATATCCAGGAAGCATAGTCCCAGGCATCGGGACTTCTGGCATGTTCCTCCCAGGTGGGTAGCGATAGACACGCCCCCTTGGAAGCATCTGAACATCACAATAATACATTTTATGCAACAGAATTGATAATGTCAAGCACCAAAACTGATAGAATTTAGATATACCTGCTGCTGCATCATTGGGACAGGCTGCTGATTTTGCTGTCCAGGACCTGCCCCCCGTCTACCTCCTGGGCGCTGACCCTGCTGACCCTGCTGCATAAAAGGCACAAAGAAATTGGGCATTGGGGCAGCTCCAGGTCTCACTCCAGGTACAAGCTGCTGTTGATAGCCAAATCCACCCTAGAGCACAAACAAAAATGTCTGAATAATTAATACCAATTAATATA